TAGGTTTTTATTAATTATTAACTTAAGTTATTTTCTACAAAAATACAAAAAAAAAATTAATTTCTAATGTTTTAGATTTTAGAACTTTAAAACATCTTTTATAACATTTTCTTATTTATTTTCCCCTTTACTTAGAGAAATTGTATAGGTCGCATAGTTTTTTTTGTAATAGCTGTAGTTTTATTTCTCTCAAATTTATACTATTGTATCTGCCCCAAAGCCTTGTAATAGTTTAATTAGGGTTTACTTTTCCGGACTTTACTTTCTGCACCTATATTATGCTTGCTTGTTTGTATATATTTAACTGTTAATAATAGGCTTGTATGACAAGATTTAAAATCAATCGTTAGATAACCCTAACAAAGACAAAAATACATGAATTGAATCACCATGCACACATACACCTCTAGGGTAACCTCTCTATGTTTCCTTCGGAAAAAACAATGGTCATGTCCCTCGAACATAGGGATACCATTAGTAAAGTCCCTCGGTTAAAGTCATCATAAATACCATAGTCCTGAGATGTCCCTCGAAGTTGCCTACGAGAAATGATCTTGTCCCTCAATGTTTCCTATGAATATATGATGACAACCCCTTCGAATTGCTAAGGTATCCCTACATGTTTCCTTCTATGACCATAATGACGACCCAATGCATGTCCCTTCACATCCAATGGATGGAGATACCTACCAACTAATAGTATGGATAGCACCATCCCTAACTGAGAAGGAAAAGGATAACGAAATACCTTTTAGTGGGTAAGATACCCTTAATTGCTTGCTCATAAACTAAAATAATTTTCACACCTCACACTTTCAAAACAACTACTTTCAAATGCTTTATAAACAATCTTGAGGAATGAGACAAGGGTTATTATAAAGTAGATTGCCTAACATTGGCATTTTCAAAACCTTTTCAAAGCACACACAAAGCAAATTAAAGTGAGCTAAGCAATTAAGAGCCCGTAGATAACTACAGATGAAAAGGGTGCTAACACCTTCCCTTTTCATAACCTACCCCCCGAACTCAAATTCTTTAAAGTATTTTCCTGTTATTTTTACCCTTTCCTTATTGGATAAAAGAAAAGTAGGTGGCGACTCTTGTTATCCGCAACATTTGTGATAAAACATAAAACAAGTCAGTTCTCCCATCGTATTACAGAACTGGCGACTCTGCTAGAGAATTAATCTAAAAAAGAGGGGTTACCTTAAGAATAGATCATTTTTACTTGTTTTGTTTGCTTGTTTGCTTTATATTTGGGGTTTTTGCTCGGGTGTAATTTCTTGCAAAGATCCTATACCTGGATCTGGGGACATTTTAGGTAAGTAGCAATAAATCATGGAAACTAAACAGCGTATACCGATATGGTTGAAGAGATGTCTACATTAGTGCGACACATTGGTTTGTACTGGTGTTCCTTGAGTCAGTCGAGGATAACACTAGGATGTTGTGTGGTGTCATAAGCACTAACTGACCTTTAGAACTTCAATTGACCCAACTTAGCCATTAGAAAGTAGTGAGATGGCCAACTTTGGTGCAGTCTGAAGTTGATTAATACTCGATGCTACGCTCATTGAGATTCGACTCTAGGGATATTTTGGTGGCAAGTCAGTTGCTCTACTGAAACAATGCCTGAGAGAAAGATCGGTAATATGAGACTCTTAGAACTCGGTTACTTTTCTTAGGACAGGTTGAGCCAACTAAACTTCAAGAGGATACTTACCTATGAACCTCGTGCAAGCCTTTAAACTAAGGCCTTTTGTGTGATTTGCTTGTGCTTTCTACCTTGTTGCTATCTTGTTTAAACATAACATCATAACATCATAACATAGCATTTTCACTGACCATTTCAAGGACCAAGAGATTTATCTTTGTTCTGTTTTGCAGGATATGGCCTCCGCTCGCAGAAATACTATCCAGATCAAATTCACGGGAATACCTTCCAAACTCAAAGAATTGGTCTCAAAGGTTCCCTAAATCTCTCAGTTTAACAAAAGACATGGTCATTTGCTCAGCTTGGTTACTCCAGTTTTGAAAAAGGCATGATGAGTGTTTTATTCCAGTTCTTTGATCCTAAACACCATTTATTTACTTTCCCCAGTTATCAGTTGGTGCCCACAATGGAAGAGTTCTCTAATTTACCTGGGGTGCCTATACTAGATCAAATACTCTTAACTGGTTTAGAGAAATACCCAAGACCTGAAGATATTGCCACAACCATGCATCTGAAACTGCCCGACATTACATCTAATTGGGAAACCAGGATTGGGGTTAAAGGTCTCCTTGAAAATTTTCTGATGGAGAAAGCTCAATTGTTTCTAGATGCCATGATTTTTCATGCTTTCGAAGATGTTTTGGCTTTACTAATCTATGGTTTGGTACTATTCCCCAATCCGGACCAACTTATAGATGTAAACTCCATCCAAGATATTCCTCACTCATAATCTTTTGCGTATTTTACTCAGAGATATTATATATTCTCTTCACACTCATACCATGAGGATGCGAGAAACTCTCATGTGTTGTATACCTTTTCTATCCAGGGGGTTTATTTCACACATTCCCCGCTCGATAATGAAGAATGAACAAGGTTTGAGGTGGTCTCAAAGGATAATATCACTCTCTCATTCAGACATTTATTGGTGTTCCCGATCCCAAGAAGACATCATTATTATTGACCGCTGTGGATAGTTCCCTAATGTTCCACTCCTGGGCATAAGGGGGGCGGGGTATTACTTACAACCCTTCTCTAGCTTTGCGTCAGTTTGGTTATGCTGGGAGAGACGGTCCTCATGATAAGCTTATCCAGGGTATTATGTTCGACTATGATAATGATCTTCAAGGTTACTGACAAAGATTTATCCTTGCTTGGGGCATGGCCAATAAGATTGATAGTAAGACTCTAGGGCATAAGAACTCCATCCCTTTGGAGCCCTATCTCAAATGGGTACGAGCTCGTGCTCAAAACCTTATGATGCCATATCATGTTGTCTTACCAGTAATCATCGAGCTTATTATCGAAGGAGACATTTCTCACACCACCCTTCATCGAGACATGCCTACTGACCTTGAAAAATTGTAGAAGTCCTGGATTTAACTCAAGAAAGAACGGGACACCTTTGAGACTCAATTTTATGCAAGTGAGAAGAAAGTGTTGGAGTTGAAGAAGCAACTTCACGAGGAGCAGAGTCTAAACGCATATGTCAACAAAAGAGGAGGCGTCCATGGGAAAATTAAAGCTTTAGGAGTTTTTAATTTATTCCTTTGTAATCTTTTTGTTTTCACATAAACTTACTAATAAAAATATTTGTTTATGTTTCCTTTTGGCTAACAAATTTAAATCTCATAAGGTCCTTGAAAACATTGTGTATACATATCATGCATATCACTACACGACAGGTGTTTCAAGACAGGTTTCTTATCTTTTTGTTGTTTATTTCAGCAGAAAGAATGGCTCTTGAAAAAACTGTGAAAGAACTTCAAGCTCAGAATGCTCAATTTCAGTAAATGTTCCTGAATCTAGCCAAGGGGCATGAAGAGCTGAAGGCTCTTATCACTAAGGAGAGGGAGGAGAAAATCAAGAAACCAGTTGGCATCCTCAACATGGGTAGGAGGCTCAAAGGTTCGATCAAGCGAGCTTTGGAGTTTGAAGAAGAAAATGATGACTAAGAGGAAGATGATAAAAGTATGAACGCTGAGAAGAATAATAACTAGGGTTCTAATGAAGAAGAAGCGGACTATTCAGATGAACAATATCCTCCAGCTGACGACAAATACAAACAGTTGGAAGATCGTCTCAATTCCATGGAGATCCTGAGATTTCCTGGGTTGGATTCTGAAGAGTTGGGTCTTATCTCAGGGGCTGTTATCCCTCACAAGTTCAAGGTCCCCATCTTTGCCAAACACTACAAGAAAATTGGCAGATTGCGACAGGTATTTTTGTAGATTACGACGGCTAAAACCGTCGCAATTTGCTTTCCACGACGGTTGCTTTACCGTCGCAGAAGTGTGTGTCCCCAACCTATTTCGTGACGGTTACAAAAACTATCGTTCAAGTTTACGACGGGTTGATACCGTCGTGACTATCTTTTGAGTTTCTTTTAATTATTGATGGCGACGGTTCGATATTGTCGTGAATATCTTTTGAAATTGATTAAATTGTTTATGGCGACGGTTCGATACTGTCATGACTTTTGTTGATTATTTTTAATTGTTGATTACGACGGTTCGGTACTGTCGCCATGACTTTTGTTTATGTCTTGATTTTTTTTTATTTTTCTATTATATATATTTTTTATTTAAATTATTATCTATGTAAAAAATTTTAAATATAGTTTTTTTTTGTGTTATTTTTTTCTTTAAATTATTTCTTCTTTAATATATTTATTTATAGTATTATTTTTTGTTTTATTTTCTATCACTTTGTAATATAGTAAAAATAATTTCAATAAAAAATATTTAACATCAAATAAGCATTATAATATCCAAAAAAATGTGTGTTCCATAATCATGTAAAATGCGAGTTCCATAATCATGTCAAGTAGTACAAAAAACCCAAAATATATCAATTTCTAATTTTATAATAATAAGTATCATTATGCCAAAAATACATGAGAAAGTTCACAATCTAATTATCTCGATCATAGCAAGGTCTAATTTGTCCCCCCTGAAGTTCCATTATCTCCAATACGGTAGCTAGACTCAGATGAACGTCTACCATCAGCGGGTGATTCCAATCCCTAAAAAAAGGTATTAAAATAATTATCTTTAAAATAATACTCATAAAATAGAATTAGAACAATAACAAAGTTAGGTAATAGAACTATTCAAGGAAGATTGCTCAAACTTCATGAAGAAGCTACCACATAAAAAGTATATCTAAAAAGGCTTGTTGCGACTCAAAATAAACAAATTGGTTCAAGGATTTGATGCAATTGTACACATCATCACCCCATCCTAACTGTTATCATATGACTTCGATAAATATAGACAGACTAAAGTTAGGAAATAGAGATGTGTACCTTCAGAGCATAAGCTTGTGATTTCTCAGAAACAGGGCACAAAATTGCTTGACGAGGACTGAGCCAGAAGGGCCATTTACCCTTGTAGTGCTCTAAAAGTATGGCAAATATGCGTTCAACTGATCCTAGAATGGCTCTGTGTATCATAACAGGCCTCTCAATTTTGGCTTCATCCTCAGCTGAGAATTCCAACTTAAAACGATCAGGAAGCTGGAAGTCAAGCTGCAAGGAGCCAATTTATCCAATTATCAGTAAAAATAATTAACAACTGAACCATGTGAATGCAAGTCAAGCCAAAGAGTGTAAACCTGTAGAGTTGCACACTGGAATTTCCTACTCAATGCATCAGATACACTGATATCTATCTTTGGTCCATAGAATGCACCATCCCCTTCATTCAACTGCAGAGTTTTATTTGGATTATAAGCACATAATTGAAGTTAACAAATGATGCATTACATTGAAAATAATAAAACAGATATACAAAAAATAAAAGAATGTATGAGAATATAAAAAATAGTATCAAGAAACATATAATTGAATTCAAAACAAGAAAAGCATATACCTGCCATGGCTTGCCAAACTCATCCAAAGCCTCCTTGAGAGCACTTTCAGCCCTATCCCACGTTTCATCATCTCCAAGCTTATTCTCTGGCCTCTACTCAAGTATTTAACACAGGCAAGGCAAAATAAATAACTGAGTCATTAAATAGATTAAACCAATTACTAACAGCAGAGTCTACCAAGCTTACCATGTACTACTATATCATGTATCAGAAGAAAAGAAAATAACAAGAAAGCTATTTCTTTGTATTGAGGCCATATTCCCAATTATTAACTGTTCCTACTAATGTTATTTATTCACAAACTTCATCATATTTCAAACCATAGAGAAGTGTTCCTACTAATGTTATTTATTAAACATATAAACAAAACATGTACCATAGGAAGAGAAAGACTGGTAATATACGATCAAAATGATCTATATCAGATGACGCTCTTAGAAGGAATAATTGCAACAAAGAAACAAATAATGAAATTATCAAATCAGAATTAACTTACATTGCAGACAAAACATATAGCGGCAGTTGTTTCCAAACTATTAAACAGATTTATCAGCATCTCTTTTGGAAGCCTTTTTGCCATTTCAACAGAATCTTTTCCAACAGGATCAGAATTGTATTCTTTAACAAGAAGTGGGTGATCACAAGCCTGACGGAGACGTAAAAGCATCAAAAGAATATTTGCATAGTTTTGATTCACTGTACGGCAGCAGCATATGCCTGCAAATTACAAGCATTACTTTTCAAAATTACAAACTGAGAACATCCATCAGTGTAGAAATATCAGATGAACAAAATCATATAATTCGTAATTGACATGCCCACTGTCAAAATAAATTTCTAGACACTAATTTAAAAAAGAAAAGACAAACAGTATCATTACAGTATGTCCAAGTTAATATAAGAAATTTGAAAAGAAATAAACTTTAAATTGAGAACGTGAATCAGCTTCCAACTTTTTGTAGTATACCAAACTCCAAAATATTTAAAAGGTCCTATGTTGTGTTTGTCCCTTACTTTTTGCTGAAATTCTTTCACAAGTACATATAAAATTCTATTACCATTTACATTTTATTAAAATGACACAATTTTATTTTGTGTTGCATTTGTTTTAAAAAGGCTAGTGATACAGTTTAACATTTAGCTCTTAAGTTATAATCATTACCCATCAATTTATGTTGCACATGACTATTAAAATTTACAACTTAACATCCCACTGTAATGGTAAATGAAATGAATTATGAATACCTCAGAACCTTCTTTTATGCATTCATCATACTGCCTCGTCTTCAAGTAGCAGGCCATCAAGTTAAGTGAGCATGCCAAAAGAAGTTTTCTACTTTGAAAAGATGGAATCTCTTTGATGTTTTCCTTGGCCTAAAATGTAAAAACTAAAACAAGGTGATATAGACTTATAGTGATAATTTCCTATAGTCTCAAAATAGAGATAAACAACAATGAAAGGTGTGGAGGAGACAGTTAAGCAATCTGAAAAGTCAACCTACCAACTTATACTTCTGCAAAGCATCATCGAACTTTCCTTAAAATCCATACAAAATTAAAAAGCATCAACAAAATTTTATAACAATATTACCCGAGCAACATCCAAAGTGTCAAAACAACCAAAATCTTCATTGTAACAACATTTTGCCCATTCATGGATCAACCATCACAACTCACAACCGGAAGTTTGTAATCTTCGACAGCACTACACTTGTTCATATGCAAAGTACTTCATCTTCCAACAATAAGAGGATTCTTGTTCTTGTAAATGTAATAGCTCATACACAATTTCTCTAAAGTTGCAACAGAATGCTGCATAGGATTTATCTTTATATCCATCATCATTCTCTGCCATAATAACAACAAAACATTAAACAACCTCCTAACAGCAACATTTTCACTTTACAATGTTAATATATCTTCAATTGAAATTAACATGACAACAGATCAAACCTGAAAATCAGCTCCATATTTCTCAACTAGCCGACTAATATAAAGACGCTGAATCGAAGTCAAAGGTTGAGGAAGTGCACTTTTATAAAATTCCAAGTGCCGATTAGATAGTAGCATCCAATATTTAAGTATGCCACAAATACTTTCCATCACATGATGCAATTAATCTTCAAAAGTTAATCTACTTTCGGGTTCACGAACTCATTCACTCCAAACTTCTTAGCTGTGAACAAGATTGATTATTACTAAAGTTAGTCCTTGAATTTATGTTGTTGACCAAAATCTTAAATCATTAGATGGAACACAGAAAGTGTTGTACCTAATTCAAATCGGCTGGAAACTAAATCAACTCCAATGATTCTTGATGCACCAGAGATCCTTGCACCTTCAGCAGCCTACATTATGGTTAAAAAAGAAGAGCAAAAATTAATATTGTCTCATTTCATTTCCAATCATAGCTGCAATGCAACACACACATGCAGACAAAGATATAAGAGTAATAACATACAGCAAGGCCAACAGCTCCAAGCCCAAAGATAGCAACTGAAGAACCTGGCTTTGGTTTTGCAACATTCACAGTAGCACCAAGACCTATAAGCATCAATGCAAATTGAATTAGGAAATCACAGACCAAGCCTGGTAATATATAAATATCTGAAGCTAGGGATCTTGTATATATATACTTGTGCATATTCCACAACTGAGAATACAAACTTTGTCAAGTGGTGCTTCAGGATTGATCTTTGCAACACATCCAGCATGAACCACTGTGTACTCACTGAATGTAGAGGTGCCCATAAAATGGTTTATGGGCTCTCCATTGATAGAGAATCTAGACTTGTTATCATTGAGCATGACACCTCTGTCAGTGTTGATCCTAAGAAGATCACACATGTTGCTCTCCTCTGACTTACAATGTGGACATTCACCACACTCCCCTGTGAATACAGGCAGGGCTTTATCCCCTGGTTTCAGATGAGTCACACCTTCACCTACGCTCTCCACGATCCTGATAAACATCATTCATTCACATTACATACTAAATTACTGATACACTAAATAATAAAGACATTTTATCAGAAGAGAAGCATATACCCTCCAGCTTCATGACCAAAAATACGAGGAAACAATGGAGTCTGACCCTGAAACAGTGGCAAAAAAGAGAAAACCATGTTAAGCTATTGCGATTCATAACAACATACAGAAACAAAACACACTATTTTCTTTATAATCTACCTTAGCTTCCCAGAAGTAAACATCAGTGTGACAAAGGGAGGTGAAGAGTATCTTGAGACGAACTTCACCGGCCTGCGGTGGCGCCACCTCTACTTCTTCAATCACCAGTGGCTTCCCAGCTTCCCATGCAACCGCAGCTTCACATGAAAACTTTTTATGTGATGTGAACAAGCTGGCCAGAAAGTTAATCTTCAAAAGTTAGCAAGGAAAGTCTATAGGTATCCCTTTGTTCCACTCAAAAGTTAGCAAGAGTACCTTCAACTACATCATTTAAAGAGTTCAAAAGAGATTTCTTACAAATGAGGAAGGTTTGATTCCTAGTAAACAAAGAGTGCCAGGTACTTCGACTATGAAATTTCATGTTTTTGGGAGCAACATTAAGCAATCAATTTTAACTAAACTGATTGCAATGCATACAATCTACTTATGGTAACGAGTTTGGGAGAAATCATAACTTGCAAGTTCAAGATGATTCTCGATAAAGAGTAACGGTATGCATACGAAGATGTGAGAGGGTATGGGGATTATCTAATTCATTTGTATCGACTGCAGAGGCTTTGGATGCAATAGTTCTTCAGCCGCTACAGAAGTTCCAAATCCTAAGGAAAAAACAAAATGACTCGGTATAAATCATAATAATATACACAAATTTATGCATAACAAATCACAACCCCGACAAAAAAATTTCTTTAAAACAACTTATATAGTTGCAAAAGCATGCAACAAAACAGGAGATTTTTAAATTGGATCACATGTGATAAGATTAATCTAATACATTATTCATACACAACAAAGAAAACTGCCAATTTGGTGTTTCAACTGCTAGGTTCCTTTCTATACTAATGTTGTTGCTGAATCTATGGGGGTAAAGAAAAGCGAAAAACAATTAAGAGACTCATCTTGAGGAAGGGTATGCATCTTGATTCGTATCGCACACATCATCACTTGGGCTCTTTCAGAAAATGTAGCTTGATAAGTGCTGGAAGTTCTGCTAACTCAACCCGAGGTTTCCCGAGTAAAATACCTTTTAACTTCTCATCACAGTTTACCATGTTCTTGTTATTTGGATCCTGCACAAGCAAGGAAACAACCAATTCTAATCACTGATTCAAAGTTTAAATTCTCCAATCCTGAAAACAGAACAATAACAACAATTACTTTGATGTGAATCAATTTTCATGAGTTGAAAAAACAAAGCAGAACCTGAAGATTGTTGGTTTTGACGTAGGACCAAACACGCATGAAACAGGTTAATCGAGAAGTCTGAGATTGACCGACAAAGTCTCTGAGAGTGGGAGGAAGGTTAACGAGATCGATCAAGTTTGTGAGCTTTTTAGGGTTATCAGTAACGACTTTCTTCATTCGCTGAGGAAGCATTCTTCACTTCAATACACGATTTGTAATGGCTGCGAGATGGGTTTATCAAAATTCTAACTTCAGAGGAAATGTGCAACTCACTTTGTGTTTAGTTAGGATTAGGTATAAATTTAACAATAACATTGTGTTTCAACTATATATGTGAATATTATGTCAAGCTCTATGTATATACTTTAGCTCATGATAAATGATTATTTAGGTATAAACTTAAAATCATTTTTCAACATCAATTAAATCCACATATCATGTTATACAAGTCATGTCTTTCGAGGCATAACCATAAGTTACCCTTGGTCTAGTCCTATCAGACCGTCTCGACATCTCATAGATCCTCCTCAAGCATAATACAAATATAACAAGCATTGAGAAAAAGATGAAAGATTAAATTTATTTGATTGATTAAATTGAACATAACACCATTGTCGTATCAAATTCATAGAATATATAATAATGCATAAACTTAACCTTAACAAGAGAGAACTTAAATATACATAACAATTATAATTAGATAAAATATATAAGTTAGCAAGAGATTTTTAAAGGTTTTGGGTGCGACGGTTGTTTTACCGTCGTGAAATGAATTTTAGGACGGATAATTTTACCGTCGTGAAAGGTTTAAGGGTGCGACGGGTGCTTTACCGTCATGATATGCCTTTTAGGACGGTTAATTTTATCGTCGTGACTAGTTGTTGGTGAAAAATCAATGTTAAAAGTGTTAAATGGGGGCCGACGGTTGTTTTACCGTCGTAATAATAATATTATGATGGCTAAATATACCATCGCAAAATAAATATTAGGGACGGTTGGTGTCAACTGTCGTAAATACTGTCTCTATATGTCAATTACGACAGTTATCACATAACTGTCGCAATTTTTGTGTCGTTAAACACTAATTTTCTTGTAGTGAAATATGATGGTGTGTCTTGACCTAAACTTCATTTGAGGTCTTGATCAGTGCATTTTAATGCACATTCTTCCATGATTGTACTTATGCATTTCCATGGTTTGTTTAGCTTATTTTTGTATTTTATAGTGTTTTTCTATTTTAGTTTATTTCTACTCTTATTTGATTTTCGCACTTTATTTTCAGCGTTAGCAGTCTACACGAATAAATTTATAACTTGAGCTACGGGAGTCGGAATAAGGCGTGCTACCAGTCGTTGGAAATCTAAGAGAAAGAGCTACGATTTTCATTCAGAAGTTGAGAGCTGAATCAGACTGTAGCAGGGCCATAAAATTCGTCGAAGTTGCAGCATTTTATATTTAAGTTTTGGGTCATTTGTTTTGGGTCAGGGTTATGTTTTCGACCCAATTGGGTTATGAACCGAGTCCTTGTCCTTGCTATACCTAGCAGCCGCTACAGTAATTGAGTTTTGACCTTTTGATTTTCACGATACAACTTTTGCTTTGTACGAATCTTATGGAGAGCTAAATTTCCTCTGAGTTGATCTGCTACATTCATGTTCGGATACTTGAGGTTAATATAATTTTGCAATTTAATTCCTATTCCTTTCAACTCTGTTATATGTTCATCGTTTGCTTAATCCGATTGTCATAAAATAGTTTTGTTTGGTTCAATTGATTTATGTTCTCTAATTTTCATTGCGTGTTATCGTTTGCTTAATTCGTTAATTCTCTTATTTTTAACCGTTTGCTTAATTCGGTAAACAGGAAACATAATTCTTATAGTATCATTCTCGCTTGTTGAATGTTATTATGATCGAACAGGAATAGTACCCGCTTAGGGCAGCGATGTTATAATAATCAATGATAGGTAGGAACTGAATTAGCAGATTAGCTTATTTTTTATAATCACTTATTTTAATCACTTATTTCGTGTTATGAATCGATCCTAAAACCAACCCCCCATTTGATTTCTATTACTTAATAATAAAATCAAAAATCTTTGCGATACGACTCGAGCCATTGTCGCTATACTGCATTTTACAAAAAAACTCGTTTTTGATCCGCCCGCGACAACGGATCAAAATTGGCGTCGTTGCTGGGGATTCTTGTTGTTATTAATTAATATTTTAGTCATAGGTATAGTGTTCTTGCTTTTTTTTTCCTTGTTTTTTTCGTTGTGTTTGTTGATTTTCAGGGTTGCAATTTCGGTTGCAGTACAGTTTTTCAGCCTAGCAGATAAGTTTGAAACCCACTGTTTCGATTAGCTCTGAATTTTTTTTCTAAAGATCAGAAAAAAGTCGACGAACAGTACTCCTTTAGAATAAAATTCTACAAGATTTCGGCCCTCAATATCGCAAATTCCTCCTTTTTCTATTTTTAAATAATTTTTTTACTGTTTTCATTGAGTAAAAAAAAATCGAAAAAATTCTCAAAATTGTTATTTTGCCTAATTAGATTAAATCTGGTGTTATTTTATTTTTTTGAATTTATTTTAATCGTTTTCTTTCTTTCTATTTGTTTTTGCCTGTTTGGGACATAGTTGGTATTTTTGTGTTTATTGATAACATGGTTGAACAAAGAACGTTGAGGCAGTTCTATGGCCTTGATGTGAGCTATAATGGTTTATGTAT